CCTGCTGAGGTGCCTCTCTTCATCGGCACTAGAAGGTGCTTGTGCAATTGCTTTGTTTTGGCTAAGCAAGTAGGTGTAACCTCATTTTGACAAGTACCAAGGCATGTTAACGTCAGTGTCTTGATCAAATTTTATCTTCAATAATTTTGTTACAACAACTTTTATTTTTGCCTGTACTTCCAGGAGTGTGAGCTTCCTTAAGCCTTAGTACTCAATCATGTATTAATACTATATGCCACTGAATGTCTCTCTTGCAGTGCAAGCTGAGAATTATCACTGTGTGGTATCATCTGTAAGATTAAAAACCTACAAAGCAATTTGAAGGTGATCTTGGATGAAGATGCAATAGATGTAGTTCTTGTTTTGCTGTGCAGGTAGAAATTTGGAACAGGCTTACATTTTCTTACGTGCTTATACAAATGTAGACAGTGCTAACCTTTCTATGTTTTAAATTACATCTTGGTTTCCTACTACTAGAAGTTTATGGTTAAAAGTATCAAATTCTTTGACTCGTTTATTAAAGAATTCATCTGAGGATACTAACTTGCTGTGTCACATTCTAAAAACAGAAAGAACCTTAGTATTCCTTTGTGTAGGGTTGGTTTTCTTCGCTTTTTTTCTTAATGCCATTTTTGCTGAAAAATAAGTCGTATATGTTTAGTTTTGCAATGTTTAGATGTTGACTTTGAAGCAGTGGCTTAGGTAAAACGTTAAGTAGTAATTGAAATTAATGCTCTGCAGAATCATTAGTGCTTTGAGGCAGTTGGTTTGGGCAAAAATAATATTGGAGCCGGAAAGCTTTAGTACATCTTCAGGGACTAAAACAAGTTGGGTTTTTTTTTTTAACCTTTGTCCTCTTCAGATTTGTGTTGTAAATGTGTATTTAGATACATGCATGTGCACACAAACACTACAGACTTCCATATACATTTTATTGTTGGTTGTGCCTGCTTTTGTCGATAACGTGTTAGGTCTTAAAAGTATTACTAGTTGTAAGAATTAAAGCTTTCTAAGTGATGTGGTGTATTTTGTACAATTAAGTTTTTACTTTTGTAAAACAGGTAAAATTTATTCCAAATCTCCTCTTAAGTTTTATTTATTCTTTACCACTGAGTTTTAATTTCTCTTGTGAACTCACAGAAATCCTGCACTGCAGGTCTATTCTCCCAGTTATTTTCAAACTTTTCTTCTTGACTTACTCTTAATTTTTGAAATAGAACTTAATGTTTTTAGCTCTCCCTTTGCTGTGCATTACTACATTTGGGTAGCAGTATGCTTCATAGAGATTTCCAGAACATTTGTAATCATCTCTTCTCCCCCCTTCCCTTCTCCTCTGAGTTGTCATAGTACCCTGCTTTTCTTATCTCTCTTTTTTACTGCCGCAGCTTTCAGATGATAATGCACGGCACAGGGAACAGCTGCTGCACAGTAGCTGAATGAGACTCAGCACCACTTACCGCTGACCTAATGTGAGAATAAATGAAAAAAAATGTGCTTTGCATGTAGGCTTACCTATGGGATCTTTTTTCCAGCTTGAATGTATTAGGTGTCATCACAGGAATGTGGACCTGATCATGGATGGTCTCTGTGGCTTCCCCTTGCCAGCTGCTCTAGGGGTAGAAATACGCTGGATATTCTTAGTGCTTTTCAAGAAGGTCACTCGTTTCTAACCATGAGTTGCTTTTTTTTGTACCGCTTGTTTATTCTTGCTCTTGTGGCCAAAAATGCCACAGCCTGTGCACTAGGAACAGGTGGAGTGACACGTTGTACATGGTCGTGCTGCACTTTGCCAAGCCACCCTGCTCACTTCCTTTCATTTCCTCCGGGTGAGCAAGCCAATGTTCTCGTAATCTTTTGCGCTAGGGACCCAAGGCCCCCAAGCTGAGCTGGAAAGTGTCCTGCCAGTTTAGTATGCACAGCCTAGGGGGTACAGTTTATTTTGGGGCTGGCTGGTGAGGTTAGCAGCAGCAGCCCTATCTGTGCTGCACAGATGTCGGGGCTGCTCGTAAGTCAGCTCCTCAGCTGCTGCAGTTTATGGTGCAGTGCTGTAAAGAAAGCTGTCATCTATTTTTGTCAGATGCTTAAAATGTTAATATTCACTGGGAATACTGTACCTGTGTATATTCAAGGCACTAGTCTAGCAAGGAAATACTAAGAAAAACCTTTCTATTTTACTCTTAACCAGTATATGAACTTTTCTTACTATGACCATTAGATACAGCCTTACTCATGCTCTGGTGGCTTAAGGGTACAAGCAAGTTAAGATTGGTAGAAGACACATTTGAGGAAAAAGTGTGTGTCTGGAAGCTTGGCTGAACCACTCCAGATTCCCCCTCCCCCGCCCCATCTCCAGTTGTAGACCTTGCCTTATCAGGAGAAATACCTTAATCTAAAAATATTTCTTCCATAACTGCCTTCTGACCTAATGGACTAGAAGGGGGGGAGCGGGGGGGATAAAATAGTGTAAAGGATACCCAAGGCCTTGAAACTAGCTGATTGGAAGAAAAGAATGCTGCTGCAGGCTTACTGTATGCCAGAGTCTGCTCTCACCTGGTATACTCTCAACCTTATTTTCTAATTTCCTTTCACTAATTCCTCAGTTAATGTTTTTCTAGTTCCAATAGGTACTGGTTGTTGCAGGGATATGAGGGGCAAGCATTGCTATGTTAGTTTTATTTCCTTATTGCTATTAGATCATAAACACTGTTGGAACAGAAGTCTCCATCCACTCAGGGTTAGTGGTTTAGGACTTAAAGTAACTGAGTGTATTACCATCACCATTACCATCACTTGGAATGTGATGGAGTTTAAACAGATGCATGCAAAGGTCAGTCTTGTTTTAAAATGAGAGGATGGATTTGGTAGTTGAATAACCAGTATGTGGATGAAATGGATCTCTAAGGCATTTCATTTGGTGTTTTAAGAAATGTCAGTGATGGAAAAATCAATACAGCTCATATGAATGAATTAAAAAAACCTGGCTAATTAATAGACTAATACAATTACAAATGCGGAATAACCATCCAATGTACACCTTGCAATAGCAGATATATGGGCACTCGACCATGTTATTTAACATTTCATTAATGCCCTGGAAGAAGTCATAAAGTTGTTACCAGTAAAGTTTGCAGCCAATTGAAATCCTAGGGGCAAAAAATGCAGGCATAGTTGTGGAAAGCCAGGCTTGTATATTGGGAATTGTTAGGGGGTGTAGAAAGGGAGGTCAGAATCTGTGGGTCAGGGTAGGCAACAAGCAGGCTTTGGTGACCGAAAGGGCCAATGTCCTCTTGAGTGTGTATGTAGTGTTATAGCTCACGTGAGACCCCTTGTTATTAGGCAGTTTGGTCTGGTCTGCTTCTAGAATACAGTGTCTGCCTGGGATATCACTGTGTCAGATGGTGAAATCCAGGGGAGAACAGAAGAATGTGAGAAAGATGTTGAAAGAACAGGAAAACAGGCAGATAAGGCATACGGGGATGAACTTGCTAAGCTTGACATTCATTGATTCCCAGCTAACTATTTATAAATTGCAAAGTGTTCCCAGTGCCAGGCTCCTAATATGGTCCTGGTCTGTCTTCGTTTAGTAGCTGTGCTTTATATTAATGCTAATACAAGACATATCTGCAGGTGGTCAATTCTATGGAATTTAAAAACAAAGGTATTTTATTTAAAGTTTGTTCAAAAGATTTGGCTTGGCTAGGTCCTCATCTGATGTGATTTATGACAGTTTTTTATACTTGTGTCCTGACTAATGTTTTATCTGACTGTCTTGGTGGAAGGTAAGGATGGATGAACAAGAGGATAATCTTCATCACAAATGGAGTCTCTGCAGAGTTTGCCTAGAAAGCAAGGATGTTTTGGAAATACTTTTCCATAAAGCCTTGTTTAACATCTGTCACATAGTGTTTGAAAGACAAATCTCAATATTTCCAAGGTAGTATCTTCCTCAGTGTTTGGATTTTTAAGAGCTGTTGTAAGCATATGCAAGTTTGAATTCACATTATGCTTATAACATGATTTGAGAAGTGGGTTATGCTAGTATTATAGAAGATAATTTAGCATGCAGACCTTGTTATGTGGTAATAGTTTGCAGTATAAAAATAACTTTGCTCGATACTTAGATCTCAGAATTCAACCTTGATTCTTGCAATCACAGAATTGGGGGTGTTATATGGAGGGGATGTTTATCATCCGGTGACATTAACTAGGGAAGTTACTGAATGACTTTTCCTCACATCAAAATACAATGTTTTAAAGTGTCAGTTCTCACAGCTGATCTGTCTGTAAATGCCAGAATGAAGATGGTGGTCCACATGCAAGTCAGACTTCTCTCAAAACCTGAGGCAGACTCTTTTTCTCTGGCAGTCCCATGGAAGCTCCTCTTAAAGCATCTTGGTGCTTTTACTCAGAGATGTTACTTGGTGCTTTTTACTCTCATGTCAGAGAGAGTTTATATATTGTGAAATGAGCAAACCTCCACTAAGAAGAAGGATGTGAGAGTTTGGTGGGGATTTGGTGGATTTGTGGGTGTTTTTTGTAATTTTTTTTTTTTGAAACAAGGTTTTATAATCAAGTAGTTGAGTTTGTAACAAATTAGCCTCAAAACTTTAGAGCATCTAAGCTTTTTTTCCCCTCACTTTTTATCTCTCTAGGTTATTTTATTCTTAAGCATTCGTTAAGTTAGGAGAAAATCTGTCTGGAGGGTGTCATGTCCCCCTCCTGCTTTATCAAATGCTACTGATGAATATACTGACAGGAAGCCATCCTCAGCATTGCTTTTGTAAAATCGCAAGGAAGCAAATGTTTCTCATATCCTCCCATTGTGTTGTTTCCTCTGAAGTAGCAGACTGGATGTGTGTCCTGGATACAGGCCTCTTTTTATGGTAGTATACGTGTTTGGGATGATCCAATCAAATCACTCTCGGTATCCCCTATAGTCTCAGCGTAGCAGGAAACAAGCCTTCCTCGCATCCTGTTGTTCTCCAGTTAGCCTGACTTTGGAGAGCTCTTGGCTCTATCAGAATCCAGAATGAAGGTGAGCTTAAAATTGATTTAGTGGGGGTTTTTGGTTGGGTTTTTTTTTGAAGTTTTTGTAAGTTTAAGCTGTAGCTTATAACATTTTTCTTAAACGTTATTTAATAGTTCTCTCTCTCTCTCTCTCTCCTCTGTAGTACTTTGATCCAGTTCTGGTGTCCGCACAAGCATGTATTTCCTTTTTTAAGATCAGGGCCATTGTTTCATGAGTCTGTTCATATTTTTAGTTTGCTTGTTTAAAAGCTACCACAGTAAGCATATAGCTAACAACAGGAATTTTACATTCCTGATGCTTTCTTGTTCCATAACAGCTTAATTTTATTTTATTTTATTTTTCCCCCAATTGGAGCAGTGATTAAGCTATCTCCAGTCTGGTTTTGCTTTTATGCGTTCTGGTGTCACCTTATTGGTATCTTTTCTCATCTCTATTATAAATTATGCTATTAATAAAACTTAACATATCTTTAGTCTCTGTGTGTGAAATCAGATAATTTCTTATTTGATGAACATCTTTTATTGTGCACATAGTTTTTTAAATACTTCCTCATATTTCAGGAAAACCCCTACAAAATTCACACCTAGGCAGTTCCCTGGTCTATCTCCTTACAGCTTCAAACAAATAAGAGTAGTCTTTAAATTATCTATAGCCCAGTGAAACTTGATGAAATAGTTACTTGATTTATTTTATGTGAGTAATAACTGCTTGGAGTATGTGTTTGACTGCTTGATTCAGCATCTGTTTTCTATAGAATCATAGAATCATTTAGGTTGGAAAAGACCTTTAAGATCATCAAGTCCAACTGTTAACCTAGCACTGCCAAGCCCACCACTAAACCATGTCCCAAAGCACCAAAACTACGCATCTTTTAAATCCTTCCAGGGATGGTGACTCAACCACTTCCCTGGGCAGCCTGTTCCAATGATTGACAACCCTTTTGGTGAAGACATTTTTCCAAATATCCAATTTAAACCTCCCCTGGCACAACTTGAGGCCGTTTTCTCTTGTCCTGTCACTTGTTACTTGGGAAAGAGACCAACCCCCACCTGGCTACAACCTCCTTTCAGGGAGTTGTAGAGAGCCATACACGCTACCGGAGCTTGAGAGATGTCAGCACCCATACAGCCGAGGTAGAGCTGCTGCTCATTGGGACCAGAGATGATCCTCATTCTGAGGGTAAAGAATGTGCATGTTAACATATGCAAGTACCTCGAATGCTTTGGGACATTTCTTCTTACTGGACGATACTGTTGTTAAATGTTTCCCAAATCTGCTCTACCTTTGTCAGTATATCACATAACCAGTCATAACTGGTCTGGCAGTCCCTTCTGTGGTTACTTTAAGTAGCTTTCATGAAAATTTTCACTTCTCTTTGATTCAACCAGTGTTTCTCTGTCCCTTTCTCACTTTCCTTTGGGAATATGGGTTTTTCCGCTCCTGCCTCTGAAGGCTGCTTTCTGTGGTACAGACTTTCTGATAGTGCCTGTGGGATGGGTCTGTTATCAGGAAAATAAACACGTTTTTGTTGACTTTTTAGATAAAAGCCACTATGCTGCGGGAAACTGAATCTCTTTCTGTTTCTTAAATCAGTTGGAACAACTGTAATAGCTATCTTTTATTGTCCTCTTTCTGGTCTTGCACAAGGGAATACTGTGACTCCTTTCAACCTATGCAGAATCTGTTGGAGAGCTATTTTCATGAGACTTTGGATGAGTTTCCATTACCTCAGGCAAATATTATGGTCTCTTTTTTTTTTTTCTTTAAATCTCCTCTTCCCCCCTGAAAATCCAGATGTTTAATGTCATCACCCAGTGCTTGAAAGTTACTAGAGTGTTTTCTGCAAGATAGTTTGAGGTTTGGATCTCTTTCCCACAGTTAAAAAATAAAAATAAAATAACCCCCAGCTTTCATCCCTCCCCTTCCTAAACCTTATTCTCCATCTAACCTATCCAGCAACTTCACTCTTCATAAAATTAATTAATTTTCAGGAATGCTGCTTTCCTCTGTGTCTTGTAGAATAAAGAGATAGCATGTACATTGTTGTAATACTCTCTGAAGTGTTTGTAGTCATTCTGAAAATATTTTATGAACAATTGGGTACAGTGCCTGTGAGCTGCTGCAGAAGAAGAGTATGCCAGGAATAGTGATACTCAGTAACTTTTTTGACCAAACTGTCAGAGGAAAGCTGCTCTTATCTGATAATTATGTTTTATTCAACTTTCCTGTAATTTAAATGACACTTGGTATTTTTAGTTTATATGTTCTTAATTTTTTCTCAAATGCAGCTGTTTCTATATTTTCTTTCTATTTTAAAATGAGGGTGTTTGGGGTTTTTTTTGTTTGTTTTTTAAAAAAAGAGGGAAACACCCCCCATACTTTTACAGGTCCATGACAGCCACTGAAAGACTGACACCTTGCTCAGGCAATAGCTTCTACAGTCATGGTTGCGTGATAGCATAGAAATGCTTATTTTAAAGGTTTGTTTCTACAACTTATTGTATGTTCTTCTGTTTTCAGACTTTTGATGCAAATGACCTGTATCAGGGACAGAATTTCAGCAAAGTTCTCAGCTCTCTCGTGGCTTTAAATAAGGTGACTGCAGGTAAGTAGGCTCTACCGTGTCCTGGTGCTTGCTCACCTTACCTTCAGCTCACATCAATGTGTATTTATACCTGTTGCTATAGTCACAATAAAGTGAACATGCTTTGTTGCAGTTACGATTTTTGCAGTGACATCTCTGGTGTGTCTTGTCTATTCCTTTGCAGAAGGAAGCTTTGCACTGGAGCTAAGGCTGAGCCTTTTAGTTGGCAAGAATTCTTAGAAAAATGCCTCATCTTTTTTTTTTTTTACTTTTTTATTTTCTTTTTTCAGTTTGAAATACTAAAAGTTTACTTTTGCCCCACTCTTACTCCTGTGTTTAAACACTGTTGTCAATGTTTTTTGTTGTCTCCCTGCCCCCCCCCCCCCCCATTCCCCAGCACCATCTTTTCTTGACAGTAACAAAAGCATAGCCAACATCTCTGATTCCTTAATCTACGTGTTTCATTTCCATGGAAGCTAGAAGTCACAAACCACCTAACTCAAGTTCCTTGAGGGGAAAAAAGCGCTCTAGAAATTAGCACACAGGTGAGAGGTGTCCATGCTTTGTTGTAGGGTGAGGTTGTACTGAATGGTGTCAGCTGGACCCTGGGACAATCAAGAAAAGTTAACATTGGTGGCCCTTTTTGCTGCTCCATGCTGGGGACTTATATTGTCAGCAGCAAATTCCAATAATGACCATCAGGTTTGAGTCTGGCGAGAGAGAGATATTATTTAAAAATGGACCGTGCTTGTCAGTTTTGGGGGGGGGGGGAGGAAGCTGATAGAGAAGTCAGTGGTGGATCGGTGTAATTTTGCTTACTAGCAATATGATAAGTGTCTTACCACTTTCATATTACTCCTGTGGTCCACTACAACACAGATATTTTTTGGTTGCTTTTTTTTCTTCTTGCATCAGAAAACACCTTCAGGAGTGAGTTTTACAATCATATTCTTAGTTCTAACAAATGGGCATGAAGTAGTACTGTTGACAACTTTGAAGCTACTTACGCCACTTGAAGATACTGCCATTCCTCTTAACTACAAGTGCAAATGTAAACCATTTCAGTACATCTTTAAAGCTGTTGTACACTGACCATAGCTCTCTAAAGGTGAGAAAAAGTGTGGCTGTTTGGTCCAGACATCAATAGATTAATACCCACATCAAAACCCCACAATTGCAGCTGGCCTTAGAAAGGACCCAGGCTGATCCCTTTCCTGGAGTGGTGGTGGTATGGAAATCAAATATCAGAACCACATGCGAACTGTGGTGTTGTCTATTTCTTAGGAGCAAGCAGAGCTCCATAAATCTGCCTGGCCAACTGTTCTTCCAAACAGTTTTCTTTGGGTGACTGTGTAGA